GAAGAAGAATGTGGCATCAGGATTGGAAGAAGGCTTATTAACAACCTGCGATAAACAGATGACACAACCTTGCTTGCTGAAAGTGAGGATGACTTAAAGCACTTACTGATGAAAATTAAAGACTATAGTCTGTGGTATGGATTACACATGAACATAAAGAAAACAGAAATCCTCACAACTGGACCAATAAGCAGCATCATAATAGATGGAGAAAAGACTGAAGTTGTCAAAGACTTCGTATTACTTGGTTCTACAACCAACACCAATGGAAGCAGCAGTCAGGACATCAAAAGATGTATTGCATTGGGCAAATCCACTGCAAAAGACCTCTTTCAAGCACTGAAAGACAAAGATATCTCCTCAAAAACTAGGATGTGCCTAACCCAAGCCATGATATTTTCAATCACCTCATTCATATGCATGTGAGAGCTGGACAGTCAATAAAGAAGATCAAAGAAGAGTTGATGCCTTTGAGTTGTGTTGGCAAAGAATGCTGAAAGGACCATGGACTGCTAAAAGGACTAATAGATCTGTTCTGTAAGAAGTGCAGCCAGAATGTTCCTTGGAAGTGGGAATGGTCAGGCTTCATCTCTTCTACTTTGGTCATATTGTCAGATGGAACCGTTCCCTGAAGAAGGACGTCATGCTTGGTTAAGTGGAGGGTCAATGAAAGAGGGGAAGGCCCTCAATGAGATGGATAAACACAGTGGCTGCAGCGATGGGCTCAGGTAGAGTAGGCAGAGTGAGGCTGGCACAGGATTGGACAGTGTTTCGTTCTGTTGTACATAAGGTCACTATGTGTCAGAGACGACTCGATGGCACATAACAACAACAACAACTCAGGTTGGAAAGGAGCTCTGATAGCATACTGGCTAAAATATTTGGCTGCTAACCCAAAGGTTGGTGGTTGAAATCACCAGCCACTCTGTAGCAGAAAGGTATGGCAAAGATTTACAGCCTTGCAAGCCCTATGGGATGGTTCTACTCTGTCCTATGGGGTTGCTGATAGAATTGACTCAATGGTAGTGAGTTTGTTTTTTTTGGACCCAGGTTGGAACTTCTAATACCCACAAAAAGCATTTTATTTCCTTTGTCAAAAACCTAAATGCTGAGAGAAATACCAACAATTAGTGTAACAATGTATTTTTTGTGAGTTGATATGAGTGGGGTCAGGAAGCATCAGCAGGTCTGTAGGTCATTGTTATGTCAATTTCTTAGGAGCTAGCTCTGGTGGGAAAGTGGTTAAGGCATTTGGCCACTAACTAAAAGGTTGGTAGTTCAAACTCAACAAGTGCTTTGTCAAAGAAGCATGAGGCAGTCTGCTTCCATAAAGATTTACAACCTTGGAAACCCAGTGAGGGTCATTGTAAGTTGGATTCGACTCAATGGCAGTGAGTGAGAGCATGAAACCAAAGGGCAGGGCTTCATGCTCAGTCTGTTACAGAGACCAAGCACACACCATACACCCTAGGACACAGCTTCTAGTCAGACCCTGGGATTCCTGCTTCTCAAAGCACATAGATAATTCCCCCAAAAAGGGTCAACTGCCAAA